CAGCTTCAGGACCTCATCGACATCTCGCTTTCCAGCCTGCAGGGGCTCCGCACCAAATGCGCGGCGTCCAACGACCTCACCCAGCATGAGATCCGCACCTTGGAGGTAGGCGCCGCCGGACCGATCCCACCCACCGACCTGCAAAAAGTCTCTCTCTTTCTCTGTGTGCGAGTGAGTGTGTGAGAGAGACAGAATTCGAACTCTAGATCTGAATCTACTTAGTCCCCCACCTCGGGAGGGGGATTCTGGCAGTTTTTGCCGTACCATTTTGGCGGTTGGGGGGGGTTGCTTGGGGAAAGAAGAGGAAGATACGCCTGAATTCATTTCCTGCCCACTCCTCCCAAAGCGATGGCTTGTGTTTGTTTACTTACCGGATAGCATTCTTCCACCCTATAGGACCAACAGTCTTATCTCTGCGCTGTTTTTATTTTTGCTCTTCATTGATATCCCACCTTGCTCCCCAATGATTGGGTGTGTGTTGGTTTGTTTGTTTTTTTGCAGACCCTTGCTGATTAGGGCCAATTAAATATTTGCAGTGTTTTTTATTTATTAATTTATAGGATTAGGCCTGGGATGTCATGTTCCTTTACCTTATATTTGTGGTGCATTTTATTCATCTATGGTATCTATTTGCTTTTTTTGGATGGTATGGTTCCCCACCACCACCATTAGAAACAACTAAAGATGCATGTTTGTGTTTGTTTACCCCATAAAGCCAACAATATATTTGTGATATTTGTATTTATAGATTCCATTTATTGCCCAGTTTTCTCCAAAAAAAAATGAGGATGGTTGTGATAGTATTGAGCTAGTGTGGTGGCTTAATTCTTCCCCCTCCCCTTCTGAAGAGTCATATGAGAATAAAAAAAAGCAGGCAGACAGTAATTAAAAAAAAAACACCCACAGGTTTCTGGCATCACATTCGTAGGTGTGTTTACTCACAAGTAAGTCCAAGTTAATCCAAGTGTGACTTACTCCCAGATATGTTTCTATGCTTTTTAAAACCTCCTTGCAAGACTGCAGAACTACAGAGGCAGCCTGTGATGTCTCTAGTCAATATGACCAGTTAATAAAATCATTAATCAATTGGGGACATATTTCAAAAGGAGGAATCTGCAGGACTGGAGCAGTGCCTCCCAGTTCTGTCTCCTCCCTGTCTCTTTTCAATTTTGTTTTTAAATTCCATGGCCATAAAAACAGCCTGCTATCGTTTCTTAAATTCTAGTAGGTTTTCCTTGAGAAAGGAGTTCTCCCCACCTCTTGCAACAAAAACTCTTACAGTATGCTCGAGGTGTGGGAGATAAAGGGAGAAACAGAAATCCTGGCTCTTTTCAACTGAAGTGTTTTAATGAGGGTTTTAAATTGGCTACACACAGTTCTTGAGGCACCTTGCAAAGCTAATACCAAAAATGTGAAATCTTCCATCACCCTTGAAAGATAAAGATCAATACAATCATTGTTGGCCCCTCTCCTACAGTGTTATAAGGTTTAGCGATAGAAGTACAGTATAGTTATGGAAAAGGTGTGCATTTCCTACCCTCCCCACATTGTGAGGTCATAGAGCTGTTGTCTGGGCAATGCAGTTGGGTGGGCGAGAGAGCTGACCCGTGTATTGCAAAACTGGGTTTTTTTCTTAGGGGAAAATCCCTTTTCCCAGTCTGATACTATAATACTGTTTGTTTAGGATGACATCATTTTTCTTGGCTTATCTTTTATCTTTTCCCCAAGAGGGTACAATATTCTCAATTCTGGAAAAGGAACCTTAAAAAAAAAAGATTAAGCCTTTTCTTGATCCCTCTCCCATCATGTATGTTTTGTATGAGACCCATGTTTCATCCTCTCCTTTTGGTTTTTTTGAGGTCACGTAGAGTATATCTACAACTCTGCCCCCCCCCCAAAGGAGGAATAGAGTCATAGTTTCCACTGACATCGTGTGTTGGGCGTGTTCTTCATAAATGGAGCCACCACCCTCCTAGGGTCAACCTGACTGTGTGGGCCAACAAACCCGATTTCTGGGTTGCCACAACCGTCAGAATTGTGTCCCATTTTCAGCTACATGAGGGTGCTTCAGGAGGAACTAATCCTAACTTCATTAAGCCAGAGAGCCACGAGACAGCTTTCGTGTCTTAACGGGTTCTTTCCTAGAAAGAAAATACAGAAGAATGTTTTTGGAAAACATGGAAGTGTTTTAAAGGAAGCTGAGGCTGTTGAGATAGGATTCCATTTCAGAAAAAAAGCAGGTCAATTGTATGATATCTAGAAGCACCCAACGTGTCCTTATGAAAAAATATCCACTTGTACTCTGAGACCCTCCTCCCCATGCACAGTTGCAGTTTTTTAAAAATGGATCCCTAAAGACAAGGTGTGAGATCAGATCTGTGTTGTCCGTGGCGCTTGATAAACCAAGGTGGCATTTGATTTTTGCTTGTAAGCGTGTGTTTGAACCACACAGTGGTAGAAGTCAGATGTCATTGTAACTGACATGGCACCATCCTATGGAACTCTGGGATATGTAGTTTTGCGAGCTGATTAGAATTTCTTCACCAGCTGGATAGCTCAGGGAATTAAGTCTCTGGCTGGAGAGCCAAACGTTGGGAGTTCAGTTCCTCCACTGTGCCTCCTGGGAGAACAGCCAGCCTGGGTGGCCTTGGGCAAGCTGCACAGTTGCAGAATGCCCCCAGAAGAAGGGAAAGGCAAACCACTTCTGAGTTCTCTCTACCTGGAAAAACCCCAAAAGGGTCACTGTAAGTCTGAATTGACTTGACGGCCTCTTATTTATCACATGGCCTTATATTGAAACATATGACAGTAGAGGCACACAAAAATGTGGCAAGCTTAATATGAGAGACGTTGCAGTAAAGCTTAGTCTATGCACTAGAGAAGCCAGTTGCAGCCAAGTTAAGAATATTACCTAGTGGCTGGAGGGAGATGTTTTCCTTTAACACCACTCTGGGTGATGTTGAATGTTGTTGTCTAGCAGTAGATGGTGCTCTGATTGGCTGTTAGTCTAATAAAAACTCTGTGTGGTCCTTGTACACAATCTGAAGGCAAGAGTGGCTAATGATTTTATAAGACCATCCACAATGCATTGTATTAGTTCTGCAAACCTATATATGTATGTGCAAAATCCGTGTTCATCCAAGAAATGAATTGAGCAAATGATGGGATTTGTAGTTTGGTAAATATATAATTATGTGCCATCAAGTCAATTCTGATGTAGGGTGAGCATTTTGTGGTTTTCTTAAGTAGAAAGTACTAAGAAGTGGTTTCCATTTCCCTTCTGGGGCCATCCTTGGGACTGTGCAGCCAGCTTCACAGGCTGGCTCTTCTCCCAGAGTGGGAATCAAACTCCCAACTTCTGGTTCTAAAAGCCAGATTCCTAAAACTCTGAACTATGTAGAAAAGCTGTTTATCTGAATGACAACCCTGGAAGAAAGAGAACGCTGTTTATCCGGTATTCCCTCTTACCCTTCTTTTGTGAGTCTTGCTGTTCTTCTAGAGGTGGCTTGAAGAGTAGAGGGAGGGAGGGCTCTCTCACTCTCTTGGCAGTCCTTTAGGTGGTTTGTTAGAACTTATTATTTTGTTCAAAATATATCCTGCTCCTTTTACCCACCTTGCCATCATGAGAGGAGCAAATGCAGGTCCTCTTGCAGGAATATGGAGAGCAAATGAAATGTTCCCCTTTGGGGTTGATGGACATGATGGGGGAGTTGAATTCCTTTTAGGCTCAAAAAATCATTTTAGAGGTTTCAAGATCCTTGCCAAAATTATCCATCACCCGACTTTTATTATGAGACAGTGCATACTTTTCTTGGAAATGTGCATATTTGTGAAGTGTGTGGTGTATTTTGAATAATTCAAATAGCATGAAATCTGGTATGTGTTTTTAAAACAAAGGAGGGGAGTTGAATACTTAAGAGTTTAAAAAATGCAGAAATGCATTTGCATTGATAAGAAGATAGTATACATTAGGATTGAAACAGGGCTGTGTCCTCGTGCTGACCCTGTTTGGGATCTTTTTTGCTGTCATGCTGAAGGACGCCTTTGGAACTGCAACAGAAGGTGTCTATCTCCGGACTAGATCAGATGGAAGGCTCTTTAATCTCACTAGATTGAGAGCGAAGACCAAAGTCCAACTGAAATGCATGCGGGACTTCCTCTTCGCCGATGATGCAGCCATTGTTGCACACTCTGCTGAAGAGCTCCAACAACTCATGAATTGTTTTAGCAAGGCCTGCCAAGACTTTGGACTAACAATCAGCTTGAAGAAAACACAAATCATGGGCCAGGGCGTGGACTTACCTCCCTCTATTACCATCTCCACACAAGAATTGGAAGTTGTTCATGACTTTGTGTACCTCGGCTCAACAATCTCTGACACTCTCTCCCTAGATGTCGAGCTGGATAAATGCATTGGGAAAGCAGCTACCATGTTCTCTAGACTCACAAAGAGAGTATGGCTCAGTAAGAAGTTGACGGTATATACCAAGATCCAGGTCTATAGAGCTTGTGTACTGAGCACACTCCTGTACTGCAGTGAGTCCTGGACCCTTTGTGCACAGCGGGAGAGGAAGCTGAACACGTTCCACATGCGTTGTCTCTGACGCATTTTTTGTATCACCTGGCAGGACAAAGTTACAAATAGAGTAGTCCTAGATCGAGCTGGAATTTTCAGCATGTATACATTACTGAAACAGCAATGTCTATGTTGGCTCAGGCATGTCGTGAGAATGGATGATGGTCGGATTCAAAAAGATCTCTTGTATGGAGAATTAGTGCAGGGAAGTTGCCGTAGAGGGAGACCACAGCTGCGATACAAGGACATCTGCAAGCGGGATCTGAAGGCCTTAGGAATAGACCTCAACAGATGGGAAACCTTGACATTGGAGTGTTCATCCTGGAGGCAGGCGGTGCATCACGGCAACTCCCAATTTGAAGAGACCCTTGTCCAGCAGGCCGAGGCAAAGAGGCAGTCCTGGAAGCAGCAAAATCGGGGAGCTAGACAGGGGACAGATTGGATTTGTCTTTAGTGTGGAAGCGACGGTCGCTTTCGAATTGGCCTTCTCAGCCACACTAGATTCTGTTCCAAGTCCTCGATACAGAGC